TGTCCTGTACATACCGTAAGCTCCAGTCTGTGGTCTACCTGTGAAAGTTTAATGCCACACATGCTCTGTACGAATGACTCTTGCTATTTGTCATCAGCCAGATAAAGTGTTTCATGACACCTGCAGAACAAATAATAAACCAATAAACCACAAAATGAGAAATGATGAAATACCAACACTTTCCAAAGCCACAATAGATTTTCCCAACTTTTAAGTCCTTGGGTGAGATAATAAATCAATGAAGAAGAAAATCAAAAGAGGAACCTTGCTGTTCAGATGTGTTTAATTGAGAGGAACCGAAAAAGACACAGAGGCACATTTCAAAGATTAGGTAATCTATCTGGGGCGAGTAAGGTTGGTGACTGGTCAGTCTTGTGGGTGGATCCTTTGCCTCACCAGAGGAAGTTCAGAGTTTACAAAAATAAAAAACACCTGAGATGTGTGGGGACGTGATGGGAAAGTTATATATGGTGAACATGGTCGTTTGTCTATGACTGACGTTTCTCTCTCCTACTCAGTTTCCATCCTTTACCAACTGACTGTGTTGACAGCATAACTACATAACTTCATAACTTAAAAGCTTACGAAGGTCCAGAAAGAACCCTTGAGTGAATCGTTTAAAAAAAAAAAAATTCTTGAACATTTGAATAATCTTAAGAACCTTCTTCCGTTCTAAAACTTTTATGGAATGGAAAAGTTCCATGGATGTTAAAGACTCTTCATGGAACCAAAGATGCCAATAAAGAACCTTAATTTTTAAGAGAGTACAGGTATGTCACTACTTTGAAAGGCTTTCAGTGGAACAACTAAAAATGTGTGTATTATATGAAATAAAGCCCATGGGGATTTTGAAGGTGAGACTCTGTACAATGTCAAAGTGTGACATTAATCCAGCTCAGGATGGATTTGCTGCTGTAATTTTAATACGGCTGACAATAAAGAGACACAACCATCTATTCACTTCATTGGACTCTGGGACCGAATCTTTTAACAAGTATCAGATAAACATCCCTTTGTCAAAACATCATTTTACATATAATTTCCACTCTCACACACACACACACACACACACACACACTCACTCACTCACTCACTCACTCACTCACTCACTCAACACACACAACACACACACACACACACAACGGTGAATACAGAAGTGGTCCATTGTAACCAGACTTTTTGTTGTTGTTGTTGTTGTTGACTGACATCATACAATCTTGTCCATATTTTGGATAAAGCCTACAGGATAATGGCCAACAACAGTCCACTTGGGCAGGAATAGTCTGAGACTATGTACAGAGACTATGTTTTATGTGCATTTTCTAAAAGACTTGAAACTACAATAATGGAAAAATGTGGAAAACTCTCAGTTCATAAAACTCTAAGAAAATGTGTCTAACCAAATCTAACCAAAATGTGTGTTGACTTAGTAATCAGAATTCATGTCCGTCCAAAAGTAATAGATTCAGATTATTAAACAGACATAACAATGCTAATAAGGCATAACCTAATCGTGTTGCATTCTCATTCATTCGGTGAATGGTTTCCAGTAATCATATTGGATATCAAAATTAGTTAGCGATGGAAAAACCACGTTCAGTTTGGGAGGGGGAGGTTGCAGGGATTGAACGTGACTGTGTACATTACTTGCCTAGTTTGTATTTAATATATATCATTTATTTAATCTTTTATTTTAACATTATTTTTTCTGTCTACTGGAAACTTCTGACACCTAGACAAACTTACTGTGTGTGCAAGCATGCTTAGTAATATCTTGTTTTGATTCTGAAACAAATGGTTGTTTGTCTCCACCTACAGGTCTTAAAAATCTCTACACATTATGTGATGTTCTGTATGTGCCGTGAGGATTCAGTGAAACATTCATTACTAGAATGAAAGTGACTATCTAGATAAGCTCCATAAAAACGTCAGTTGATCCACACCACAAAGTTGTTTATTTTGTGAGAGAGAACAGCATTTCTTTCAGTTTTGTTTACATATTAAGCAAAGACACTTTGTCTAAGCACAGTTGATGATAGTAAACCGTGTACAGTTGGAACACTTTTTTTTGTTTTTTTACATTAACACACAAAAACTAAAGTAAAAACATGCCATTTATTCGTGTGATATTTCTTTCATTTGTCTGCTAAACAAATTATGGTCAATAATACCTAAGTATTTCATATTTTCTACAGTTAGTTCATAAAGACAAGGAATACTTTTGTTCTAATTGTACCCATGCCAAGTATAGTTAAAAACAGCACTCTACATTTTTTAAGTAGCCTAACTAACTAATTTCAAATATCATAATGTCTTATATAATTAATTATATATTTTACATATGATATATTATACATAATTATATTATATATAATTATGTCTTATATAAAAATAATGTCATATAATGTCTTATATAATTATATAATTATAATGTCTAAAGATATCATTCGACAAAAAACAAATTATAATTATTTTATTTTAGCTCTTCGTTTTATTCCTGTTCTTTATTATAATTAGCAGGACATCTATTAGAATTACATTTTCTGCTATTCAATAGCCCACACAGTTCATCGGTAAATCACTGAACAATTAAGATTAAGTAATAGTAATATTAAAGACTTAAAAATCAGCTCATCGTACAACCATAAATCAAAGGAAATTACATTCCCTTAGTCAGTGAGTAATTCGCCCATTGAGAAAAGACCTCAAGATGGCTGTGGACATCACAGACAGTCGTCTGTAACTTCAGCATTTATTCACTGTTGGTGTGAATAGGGCTTGAGAGTTGCACAGTGTTGGATCGGATGAGAAATGTCATTGTTAAAACACTCAGCAGATGGCAATATTTCACAATTCTCCAAAGTTCACCAGACCTGCAAATAATTGAAAACCTCTAACAAATGTCTTCAAGAAGCCCCTGCAGAGAGGCCCAAAACTCTACTCTATTTGTGTGATATGACTTTTTTTTTTTTTACATTAAATATTAGCCTATATGACTGTAATCAATGGTGTAAGTACTGTGCAAGGAGTGTGAAGGACAAAGTCTGACAGGTTTTCTTCATGGCCTCCATTTAATGAAAAAGAAAAAAAATATCAGCTGATTAGTATTTTAGATTGGTTGGAGCTGAAAGACAGGGAGAGGCAACAATTGCTGGTTTCATAAGAAAGGAGGCAAAAAGAGAGGAAGAAGGAGAAAGACTGTGAATCAATTCCTAGGGGACTGCCTAGCTAGACAGCATTTCACGAGTTGGCCTGCCCATCCAGTCCTGATTGTTAATGGTAAAAAAAAAACTTGGCTTGCTGTCCTCAACAGAGGCTCGAACCCGAGGCTCAGCTTGAGCTCTGAGTTTAACCCCCCATTGTGGTACTACAGTACATAGTAGGAGAATAACAGCAATAGAGGGGGAGATGGGGAGGTGGAGGGATGCTGGAAGAATTGTCGCTGGGACGGCACAATAAGTGCTGCTTATATAGGTTCAAAATAATGATTGCCAGGACTCAATGATTAGGCTCCTCAAGAACCTACATTTGGAACTTTCGCATCAGAATTGTTTACACTGGACACATGCGCCAGAAAATAGTTCTACATGATTTAACAGCTCAACAACGTCCAAGCCACATTAATAGAAGAAAGATTTAGAAACAATATAGCAGTTATAGCAGTTTAGTAACAGTTAAATTATAGGATAATTAAAGGTGTGGTCCATTTTATAGCTGTTTTTGAATTTTCAGTGGGTAAAATGTAGTCATTGGGAATTTTTGCGGGAGGACAAAAAAAAGTTTCAGGTTCAAATTTATCACGTGGATGCGTTGACGAGCAGAAAGCTGCTGTTATGAAGGTGACTTCTGTGTGAGCTGTGCTTCATACATAGCTACACTACTGACAATTGACCCTTTTCACATGTTTGGGTTTCTCAGAAGCCGTAGTTGGGTAAACTTCTAGAGCGGTGAATGGGAGTCTACATCAAATATATTTTTTTGTGTTCCCATTTGCTCAGATAGCAAAAGAAAAAACTCCTTGACAGTGTTTTCATGACTCGCAAAAAGAGGAAAAATAAATAAATAAAACATAGAAAGATTGGTAACCGCAGTCAGAAGAGAAAACATTGTCAAATTTCCCGCACTCCCTCAGCCGCTGAAACACTGCAGTGTAGTTGTAACTAGTTGTAATTTGATGCAAAGGTAGGCCTATAGGAAGTATAGTTTTACAAATGTAAATTTTTTAATTGAATAAACTTTGCAGGATTTATGCTGATGGCCACGCGTCATCACATTTGCCTGCGAAAATCAAGCGTAGCGTTAGTTCTGGCAGGTCACGTTAGTCAAGCTCGCATCAGCTGACTCTCAGCTGATCCCCATCAACCTATGGGAATACGACACCGATCTAAGCATTTATATATAAATATATAAGGTCCCGCAGTAGTATCAGCAGTTTTCGCATTGCTCAATAGCTAATTACCCTTCTCCATCCCCAGCTCCTCCTCTGTCAGTCAGGATTCAGCCTTCTGATTCTCCTTTGAATCAGACTAATTCTAAAATGTGTACATAACATTATTGAACTTTAACGATATCTGCAATACATTTATGTTGGTTCTGTTCTGTTTACCCTGCTCATTTCGAATGCGCCGTCACCTTTGTAGAAAAAGAAAAAAAAAGAAAAAAAAGGAATCAACGAATCAACAAACAATATGGCGGTCAACTTGAGGATCCAAGCTGAGCAACAGATTGCTCTATACCATTGACAAAATGAGATTATCATAGTTTTATGACAAAAACTGTACTTGTTTTAAACTATTTAAGTTATAACGTCTAATTGTTCAATATTGTGTCATAAGACAATTTTGGTTGCAAGATCAACCTCACCAAATTGCGCACCCGAGAATATTTCCCTAAGTAGGCAGCGTGCAAGTTTAAACGTCAAAATGCTGTCTGGGTAGGCAGCTCACTAGGTTTTGAGACAGCGCCAAAGAGGGCGGAGGAATAACACTAATACCCACAAATCAAAACACGATCCGCTTCAAGTTTTCTCTCGGTTGTAGAAAGAAAGAAGTTTGACATGGAGAGTAGATGTCATAGAGGATGACAAACTTTTGACTGACATATGTTTTCAGGAATGTGTTTTTCTCCATCATGTCCAGAAGATGATGGCCAAACTGCAGCTGAAACTTTTTCATAAGTGCTGGGGAAAGGAGTTTTCATGTAAGAGAGAGCGGACCAGGATCGCCGTACAAGTCCGTTCGCTTTATTAGTTAAGACTTATGTATATTTCTGTATTTATCATCAACACGTGCGCTTGTACGTGTTGTGACACTTACTGGATTTTAACGTAAAACTTTCAGAAGATTCAAAACTTAAACTCAGCTTTGTTCCTAACCTGTCAAATTGGCTTTATTGGCGCTCTAAAGGACACAATCTCCGGTAATATTATTGAATTGAACGGACATCATGCAGAAGCTGAATTCGGTAAACAGTCACGCGGAGCTCCAGCAGCGGCTGGCGGATCACGGCGGATCCGGAGACACGGCGAGGGAGAACGGCACAAAACACATCCCGAGTCCCGCGGAACCTGTGGATACGGTGCAGTGCTCCAGCAGAAAGATGCTGGTCGGGCTGGACATCCTCTGTCTGCTCGTGGGTAAGAGAAAGAAAGTTGGGTGACACGTTGTAGTAACTTATGATGTTAATGACATAAATGCTATGTTATTATTTTATTTGCAAGATATTATGAAATGTCAGCAAAACTTGTACTGGGTTGAACTTTATAAGTATTAACAACCATGATGCTTTGCAAGTCAAAACATAGTTTCATGACATTTCTATTAGATCGTTCGTGATAATTTATTTAGCATTATATAATGTAGTAATAATGAAGGTTATTGAAAATGCTGCCAAGCTGAAGTGTTTTTTCCACCTCCTCCCCTCCTATGCAAAGAAAACACGTTTAAAACACCACAACAGATTTATTTGCAGGTTGTGGAACATCAACTTCATCTGTTTTCCTCATAACAAAAAAAACTTTTTGACAGTTCTCCACAAAAGATATTGATGTTTTACTGCTGTGCCAAAACTTGACATGGGATCAACATTTCAAAAGTTGCTCCATCCAAATAATCCTCTCAAAAGCCAAATCAGAGTTTAGGAGAGGAAAATAATAAGTTCATAACCTCTGTGCACGTGGTGTGTGTGTCTTGAGTTTAGAGTTGGCAGGAAAGTTTGTCCTGGGAAATTCAGCCGTATCCATGGACACAAGCAGTTCTCCAGAGAAAAGTGAAACTGCCTTTTCAGATGCCTTGAACTGCATGTGTTGTTTACTTTGTTTGGGCTATACTTTATTGTAGCTTTCATTAAAACAGTATTAGTTTCACTGTAAAAAGAGTGAAACTGCACAATTGTTCCTGCTCCTACCTGATCCAACACATATTTATTTATTTTTGTAGTCAAGATGATTATACCAAATAAAATAATATTTTGGTCTTTTAATATTTTTAAATTAACCTGGTTAATGTAGATCTAAACTTTTTTCATTCTAATATTTTCATATAAATATTTGCACAGACTACACACTGAAAAATGTTTAAACTAAGTTTTCCATCACAAATATTATCTAAACATTCTTAAATCAAGATGCATTTACTTGAGAAGCAAAATGACTTAAAATATTAATACTTGTTTTTTTTTAATTAAAAATAGTAAAATTTTGAGGGTTTTTGCTTAAAACAAACAAACAAACAATCTGCCAATGGGACAAGAAAAATAATTTTGTTTTGCCTTTTTTACCTTTGTTTTCTTACCCCATTGGCAGACAATATTTTAAGTCATTTTACTTCTCAAGTAAATACATCTTGATTCATAAATGTTTAGATATTTAGGTATACTTTATACTAAAAAACAAGACAAAAATTTCACATTATATAAGTTTATGACTTATTAATGAACGTTATTATGAAGTGTAAAGTTTCCCTGCCACTTCCCAAAGACTTTTCATCCATACAAATCCTAGCAAAATGTTGTCCTGTTAGTTTGTTGACGCAATTACTGCTTTCTGCAATGCTGCTAGTAAAATTAGTGCACACCCTATCGGTTTAATGTGTCACAAAAACATTCACAACATGGATGAGGGGATAAACACTTCAATTATGTTTTTTTTGTCATTCGTTTTGGTGTGCCAAATACAGTAGAACCTGTCCAGGCAGACAGACAGGTTACAGTTCACCGGCTTCACTGTGTGGATCACTCACATGAGACCTGCTTTAGGCCTCCAGGTAAAAGTCCTCATCCCGCAGAATCTGTTTTTAGAAACGTGTCTGGTTCCTGCTTGAGGTTTATAGAGGAAAGGGCCTCCTTTGATTTCGGATGACTGTCACTTTCTGCCTTATGATGTTACAGTCATGCACTCAGCAGTTTTGTTAGTACTTATGACCTTCTGATGACAGACTGGAGAAAGTCAAGTGTAAGCAGAGAGGAACTGTGCTATGGGATGAGGCATGACGTGATAAAGGATGGGGGCATTTGCGATTGCTTACTTTGGTTAACATTGCACACGCATTTCCCTCTTTTAATCTTCATGGTGCTTGTGTGACTTCCTCCTAACAATTGTGTGTCAACTGTAAAAACATTCAGAGCCGCATGATGCAGCTCATTTGTGCTGTATTCATCTGAAGTATTGAAATGCCGCATTTTAGTACCCTTGTGAAAAGAAGTACACTTGAGCATTTTATATGAGTTTGAACTGAATGTAATGTTTTCAGACACGTCATTGACCCTTCGCAAATACTCCACCCCCCACCCCCCCCCTCTCCCTCGCCCC